TCATGGTGAATTATGTAAGAGATTTGATGAGTGGCAATTTAATTAATGCAGCTGAAGCTGATGGACAGCCACTCTTGCATGGGTTTTGGTCTGAGTCTGAGTGAGAGAGCAAGATGGGCGTGAAATGCTTATGAGATGGCTGAGAATTGATAGTGAAAAACAGACATGATTATACACAGAAAAAAAAATAGTGTAGGATTTACTTTGAAATGATTTTCACTCAAAAACTGCTAGTAAATTTCACAAATAATTACAAAGAGATGGCAAGCAAAACAAAGAATCAAACAAGAAAATTGACGTGATAAGGCTAAAAGAGCATTTTTTTTGTACATACTGCAATAATCTTTGAAAACTAATTTTTGACAATTTAGTAATTTTTACACACTGCAGGGTTCTATTTTGGCAGATAAGTAATGCATCTGGTTATATTAAAGTAATATTCTGGGTCCAATACAAGTTGAGCTCAATTAACAGCATTTTTGGCATAATGATTTTGATTACCACAAAAATTCATTTCAACTCCTCCCTTTCATTAAAAAAGAAAAAATCCGTCTTCAGTGAGACACTTACAATGGTAAGTAATTGGGACTACTTTTCAAGGGTTTAAAAGCAAAAATGTGAAGCTTATCATATCATAAACGTGTTCTTCTCTTAAAACCCATGTATCATTTGAGCTGTAAAGACGATTAAATCATTGTTTTTGTGGTGCTACAAGGTTTACACTGTTACACTGTCATAGCAACAAAGTTGTAAATTTGGACCTAACTTCACACAATAAAGGACAGTAACCTATTTTAGCACAAAAAAACGTCTTGTGGCACATACGTCTTACAGTAAGTATTTTAATGTTTACAGATTGTCATTGCCTCACCATAACCCAACATTCGAGGGAAAAGTTGGAAAAAGGTGGAAAATGCTACAATAAATCTTTGGTGGTAATCAAATTTCGCAATGCTGTCAGAGCTTACCTTTTACAGAGTATATTCCTTCATTATCACCTTCAGGTCACTGTTAGACAATATTCCATCAGCTGATAAAATACATGATTAGTTAAGTCTGCGCCGCTGTGGGTTAAGCCCAGGTTAAACAGCTGTTATTATTTTGCAACCTCAAGGTGTGATCACATTCATTAAACCTCATGAGCAAAAAAAGCCCACTGTCTATTGTCATTAGTGTAGTGATGTATGAAGCACAGTTCACATAGAAGTCACTTTCAATAAAACTCTCAATTGCATGGATTCATATTAAAATGACTGGATTTTACCCACATCATTTTGCTGTGCAAAACTAAATGCGCTTGCACCTTCGTTGACAAAACAAGCAAAAATAAAGCTAGGTCGTTACATTTTATGATAAATGTTTGTTCAAATCCTTAACCCAAAATATGAGGAACAGTAATAGTGACACTTGCTTTAACAAACACCACTAAAAAGAGCACACAAGCAGGCCATGTTTGACATATCCGAATATTACAATGACATGCTGATTGGTGTGTTTTCTAAGACGTGTCAAAGCAACATGTACGCTTCCATTCATCATGAATCAAACAACAACATCTGCCTCTGCCACGCTAAACGGGGGGAAAATAACAAAAGCGAGCTGTCTCCCAAGCATGCATATGTTAGCTAACAGCAGCCGTCTTGTATCTGCCCCCTTCAAGCCACTTTCATCTCTCGATACGCTGTCCTTGCACCCAACACGACTGTTTGAAAGGTGTCCTGCAGGGATGCAGTGTCATGTTCCAAAACTTCCCGACTGCCAAATGACTAGGTGCTGTTTTCTTGAGGAAAGTGCAGATGCATCGAATGAACCGTAGTATTTCTACACTGAATAATAAGGCAGCTCTTCCTTTGAGTCTTCTGTTTAAAACAAGCTGAAATAAGGCATGGAGAAAAAAGGTGGCATCTTTGCTAAAGGCCACAGATTAAACTGAGTCCTCACTTGTTGCTTTACAGCCACATCATACAATTGTGCGCCCTTCAGGATTTAATTGAAAATGCCTTTTAAATCCTTGAATTTGAATAGGATTTGAATTGAGGTAGTAAACAGGATGCAGAACTGTAAGTCATGTTTAGTGTAGGCAGTAAAATTATGAAATTCATACAAATTGAATCATCTAAATGAAATTAAAACACATTTTATTTTTATATAAAAACTTTTTTCAAAAGTTTTTGAACAGTAAAATGTTTTATGTTTTTTAAGAATGTTCTTCTGCTCACTAAGCCTGCGTTTATTTGATCCAAAGTACAGCAAAAACAGTAAAATTTTGAAATATTTGCACTATATATTATGTTTTCTACTGGAATATATTTTAAAATGTAATTTATTCCTGTAATTTCAAAGCTGAATGTTTAGCATCATTACGCCAGTCTTCAGTGTCACATGATCCTTCAGAAATCATTCTAATATTCTGATCTGCTGCTCAAAAAACTTTTACTATTATTATTATTATGTTAAAAACAGCTGCGTACAAGGTTTATTTGATGAATAGAAAGTTAAGAAGAACTGAAGAAATATATAACATTATAAATGTCTTTATCATCACTTTTGATCAATTTAAATCATCCTTGCTAAATAAAAGTATTAAGTTCTATACTTTAAAATTTATTTTTAAATTATACTGAATCCAAGCTTTTGAATGGTATAGTGTATAATGTTCCAAAAGCTTTTCATTTCAGATAAATGCTGATCTTTGGATCTTTCTATTCATCAGAGAATCCTGAAAAACATTTAGTCAACTGTTTTAAATATTGATGATGATGATGATGATAATAATAATAATAAATGTTTTCTTGAACAGCAAATCAGCATATTAGAATGATTTCTGAAGGATCATGTGACACAGAAGAATGGAGTAATGATGCTGAAAATTCAGCTTTGATCACATGAATAAATTACCTTTTAAAATATATTGAAATAGACTATAAATAGATATTACTACTTTTGCTGTATTTTGGATCAAATAAATGCAGGCTTGGTGAGCAGAAGAGAATTCTTTAAAAAAACATAAAAAATCTTACTGTTCAAAAATGTTTGACTGGTAGTGTATACACATGCACGCACGCACTCACGCTCACACACACACACATACACAGATATATATATATATATATACAGTATATATATATATATATATATA